TAGCCTTAAACAAATTCGAACTCTAGAAAACTTAAACTAATTACCATGTATAGGACCTATCTAAAGCCACACAAGCTTACCCCACACATAGAGTTATTTGCTAAGAAACCACTTCCAGCTCTAGGATTAGGGCCGATGCTTTATTTACTTTTTTTGCTTCTGTGATGTGATGCAATTATATGTGACACGTGTGTTGTTTGCCATGATTGATTAGTTGTGATGATTATTTATTTTATTGATGTGTTTTCCATATATTGATTATGTTGTGATTTATGCGATAGACTACCCATGGGTTAGGGCCGCCTTTATACTAATCCAATCTTATGCAGGTGGTCACGCTCATGCAACGCTAATAAAGGGGGCAATCATAATTAAAGCTTTAAATACTATTGTTGTTTTATGCAGATGCTCCAGAGACTACTTAGCCACCTTAAAATTAAAACAGCGTGGCCAAGCATGTTTATTTTTCTATAAATATTAACTACTTGGGATGTTGTGTGTTATTGCTTGTGCTTTTTATTAGGATAACCTTGCAGGGGTATGAGTCTAGATTTTCTTTTTTAAAAATGTATTGTAATTTATAAAACATTGAGTTGTGAAAGTCTTTAAAAGTCTGGCATTTTAAATACTCGGTACTTAAAGAGAATAAGAAAGGCCTAGTCATTTGGGTACCCTTCTAGAGGACGAACTAAACGGAGCACAAAGGAAACGATCTGAAGAAAGAAGATATGGAGAAGGACAATCCACTTGAAGACAAAGCATTGAAGATGAAATGCCCGACTTTTAAGGCTTGTATTATTTATTAGGATTAGAATCCATGTTATTGTCGATGGAGCCTAGCCACCATTACTTTTCTGCAGATCCTGGGTTGTACTTATATGACACTTGTCATAGACTTTACTTTACTGTGTTTTCTAGATTTATATTGATGTATTTATTTTTTATGCAGTAGAAATTGCCTATTTTCTTAGGTTTCTTTCTTGCATGTGTGTGGCCAGATTTTTGTTAGGCTCTATAGGATAAAATATTTTCTACTCGTAATTAAAAATTAATATTTTAAGGTTTAAATAACTTAGAAACTTAACGACATAGGGAACAACCGAAGCCGTCCGAGGTCGCATGCATATTATTACATCTCTCTTTCTCCTTCTAATAAGACACCTCCTCGCCTGCGGGTAGAGTCCGGATAATCTAACATATGAGGATGAAGTGCCGGACCTGTGGAGGCCTAGTCTTTTCTAAAAAAATAATTTTCTATAAGCCTATTTTTAAAATCTTATGCATATCTGATTTGGAGACTTCAACCATCATGCATTGCATTAGAAACTAATTTAATTAAAATTTAATTGCATTAGCTCTAGGAGCATTCACCCTATATAAGTTCAGGGCCAATTAGAAAACTTTCTAGATGTTGGCCCTACTTCCAAAATACTTAAACTACCTACTCATCTTTCATAAAGACTTGATATCATGGATTTTATACGCTTAGGTGGTTAGTTGGCTTCCCTCTTCATGTAGGGTATAAGCCCAGGTGCATTAGCTAGGACACGGGCGTTAATATTGGGTAAAACACTAATCCCATCTTAAATTTATGATTTGAGGCTACTATACCCGGTGTCTCGTAGAATGCCTAAATAATAGGTAAGTTCCCTTTCTTCATGGACTATAAATCCTACTTATCCGCGTCACATAGGTAGCGTAACTTTTATCCTTTCTCTCTACGTACTCTGAGTGTTTGAGTTTCTTTATCTCCCCAATTGCCTTAGTCCCTCCGGATGCTGAGATGAACCGTGCATGGTGACTAAGCCCACTTGAGACCATTCTTTCCTTTTAAATAGGATTTCCTAGTCTCCCTTTTCGTACCAATCCCTTATTCTGGAAGAATATTATTGTATCCTTAATCGAGAGTTTTATCGGGCCCTAGGCTCGAGATCTAATTAACCACGGGGGCTTGCACCCACGGGAAACAGAACTCCACCATCAAATAAACTCCACTTGAGTTGATGTATTGGGTGGGGGAAATTCGTTGTTACGATCAGATCATATATATTATTACCCATCGAGGTGCATTGGCGAGAGCTGCTATCCTCAATGGTTAGTCGTATGTACGATTTAATATGCCCTTCCATCGACCCGTTTTCGAGGAGCACGGAGGCCTGCGATCGTCTTTATCCCTCAGGGTGGTGTGGTCGTATACCTCTCTGCACTCTAGTAGCTAGAGGTGTCCTTTCGAAGGTCCACACACACCAACAATAACAACATATACATTACCTAAACATAACTTTAAAATAGAAATAGCATTATGTAATATAACATAAATATTTACTTGAGTATGATATTTGAATATAAGTAGCATAATTTGAATAACATATAACATAACATTCATATTTCTTAATGCATTCTTATTACATCCACTCTCACTTATACCTCCACTTGTCAGCTCACATCTGCTCAGGCATATCATATGCATAGATGGAAGAATATATGAACATGTGCACAAATGAGTGCATAACCACCAATATCTCCACTTTTATTATATACATAACATCTGCCACATTCATAATATTTGCCACATTATCTAACACCCCTTTTCCCCACATATTTTAAGAACATGAATATAGAAGCATTGACATTTTCAACATGTATTGGCAACATTAGAAGATTAATATTTTCAACATATATGAACAGTAACATTAACACGTAAATATTAGTATTTTTAATATATATTAGCAACACATGAAATCAACCTACTCAACATGTACGACCATCACCAACAAACTTTCCAGCATATATGAATAATAACATTAACACTTTTAACATATAAAAATAGTATCTAAGTATCTAACATGACACATGAGTATATAAACTTTTACATGTAGGAAAAACTTAGTGGTTTTGGAGAAATACTTGTGCGCATACTTAACATTTGCAAACTATATAAACATTCATAAACAACATTTTTAACATAATTTTGGAGCTTTTATTGTTCTATAAAACTTCATGCACATGTCATTATTTTCATCAACATACATGAAATGTTGTATATTCAAAACTAACTGGTGAAATTAGTTTTTTTTTTTTTTTGTTAACATGCTTAGAATACTCTATACTACAACATGCTAAAAGTTACACAGCAAAACGTTTTTTAAACTTTATAAAATTGAGTTTGTATAAAATTTAACCAAATAAAATACCAAAACTCACATATAAAACCCGAAATTAGAAACTAATGTAGGGTAACGGTAACCTACCTCGAGCTATAACTTTCTCAACTGGCCCAATGGGTAATTTGGCTCTAAAATCCCCAAATGTAACTCTCTCTCTCTATAACTCTTCTCCTTCTCTCTCTAATTTGTTGCCTCCCAAAGAAAAATGAATTTTTTTAAATGGTATTTTATGTTTAAAAATACTGCACTGTAGCACTAACATTCACAATTTTATGATGATCCCTAATAGATAGCCTAGCATCACAATTCTGCTTCTCAGTGCCACATTGCTTCAAAGAAAATTTTTAGGCAATCAAATTAGGGATCTTGACATCATAGTTCTACTTCAAAGCATATCAAAGGGGTTATTTTTATAATTTCTTCAAAGACGGCATTTGTTATAATTTCTTCCTGCCCGGATCAAAGATCGACGGGGCAAGGTCTTCAAAATTTAAAAGCATCATACCCGGATCAAAGATCGACAGCGTATGGTCTTCAAAATTTTAAATCATCCGCTCAGATTAAAAATCAAGACACGAGTTTTCACATTTTAAACCATCCGCCTGGATTAAAAATCACGACGCGGGTCTTCGCATTTTAAACCATCCTCCCAAATTAAAAATCGTGACGCAAGACTTGAAATTAAAATACATGGTTGGAAATATCATACAACAAAGAATTGCCGATTGGTTGGCCCTTCGGTGGAGTGGAGGCGAAGGAAATTTATGCGAGCGGCTTGTATGACGTCAGGAAGATAGGGCGCAAGTTTTTTTTCTTCTTTGTTTCTTCCCGTTTTTATCGATTTGCTTGTTGACGGTAGTTATTGCGCAGAAAGGATGCATCCATTGCTGATAATGGGACCGAATCAAACTCCCGAAGAGATGATGCATCTCTTCGCTCTTTATTTCATGCTCTTTTTTTTATTCTCAGTCAAACGATTCTCATATGCACTGCTTGAAGCAACCCAACAAACTTGTTTGTGTAACCCTAAGCACCCAAGACGCATTACTGATAGTGATTTTCAAAGAATGACGCATTATTTCTGATCCAAAATACATTTAAATCATAAAATGACTTTAAGATTATATAGGTCCTTTTGCCAAAGTCTTGCATAACAAGTTAAATGCTTTTTATTCATAAAATTCTTAATGGGTTTTAGTTGTACATTACCGAGTGTAACTATAGCAATCACCCAATTTTATAACTTTAATTTGTATCTTGCATGGCACTGACAGGTCATGCCCCTTGGACGATGATGATTGCTGATCTTTTCAGCTGCCCCTTGGACGGTCTTCTGGACAACCAGGGACTTGGCTCAAACATTGGCTCCTCAAGTATTTTTGGCCCTTTCGCATAATTTTGAGCATTTTCTGAGTTCTTCATGGCTTTGGCCTTTCCTTTTTAGTTTTATATCACTGAATTGTAATTTTCTTTCTTTAGAATTCATTATCTCCTTTTGTCTATGAGGTTTTGGATTATAGTTTTGTTCCTTGTAACTTTCTCTTAGCAATGATACGAGCTTCTGCCCCAAATTTTCCCAAAAAAAAGCAGGTCATGCGAAGCCATAAAGCTACATCTTAGCAGCTGATACCAAATGTGGGTTTTCTTGATATCAGTGAAATTTTAGAACCACTATAAAGTTTTCACATCAATTTTTTATGTATTATTGTACAAAAAAATGGATTTTGTTAATCCATCTGAAATATCAGTCAATAGTATAGAAAGCATTTTATTAGCAGACAAAAAACAACAATGGTCTATTAGAAATAATCTGTTTCATAAGAACAGCGCGCATGATGCAATATGCAACCAATAGCTAAAAAAGTTAAGGGCTAATTCTCACCCATACATTAGCAGACAGAGAAGCCATGGCCATGGTAATTCCAACCCTGAAGAACAACCCTTGGCGTGACACCTTGAGGAACCTCAAATGAGATGTTAATGGTCGTCGATTCACCTGGAACCAGCGAGAAATAGTTATCAGAATAATGCACAGGAAGGATGCGAGTGTCTCCATTAGTTGCTTCTTCCACCGCCTTTCCATCATGAACAGAGAAATGGAGGAAGAAAGCTACTCCAGTATCAGATCCAGCAACTTCAAACACCCTTGAGCCATGCTCTGATCTTGAGACTTGCAGGCCACTAAATATCCTGCTTAATACACCACTTTTGAACCTCGCTGCTTCAGGTTCTTTAACGAGATCCAATGAGTTCGAATTCTTAGTTATATTAAGAACACTCATCTGTATTTTATACGAGGAGCCAGTGATAAATGTTTGAGAAGTAATCTTCAGTGGCACTTTCTTGGCACGATAAGGCTCCAAAATGTTGTAATTAGTATCTGGCTGATGCAACCAGTAGAAGTTTCTTGATATGATGCTTGTATCAGACAGTCTGAAGAGTTTGAGCAAAAGAAAATAGACAGGTTTTGCATTCTTTGATGTAGGATATTTCATTTCAACAACCGGGAATACTTTCTTTGATGGTATGAAAAGCTTATCTGTAACATTGTAATATGGGCATTTACCATCAAGATCCCAAACTGAAGCTTCTACAGATACATCTGACAGTTCATCTGATGTAGTATTCACTACCTGATAAAAAACCACCAAATGTTCTCTCATACAGCTCAAGGTGAAACTTAGGCTTCGTTTGGGATGACTTTCTTACTGTTTCTTAAAGCAGCTTTCTAGTACAAAAATTTACTAAAAAGCTGCTTTAAGAAGTAGTAAGAAAGCTGTCCCAAATGAAACCTTAAAATGCATATCAGAAAGCTGTGCATGAATAGTATGTATATTTTCTAACCTCAATATAGTAAGTAGCGAGATTGAGCTGTGCATGAATAGGCTCAGAAGCACTGCGGCAACCATAGAAACCTGCTGTTTGGTCATGGAGATGATCATAAAACTGACCTCTTAGACCAGTCCATGGATTCTGCGTCTTCCAGATATTAACACCGGTATACTTGGTCCACATTCGAGAAGTCCAACCCTCAAGGAGCGCTTTATATTGTACATAATTTACAAGTTGTGCCTGAAACACAACAAGGATTAGAAGAGATGGCATATTAACCAAAATTAACATATCCAAGTTAAGAATCGGTTGATATTTCAGCTCGCCTTTTCACAAAAGTCATCAAGATTCTTTGGGTGACCATATGATTCGATCTGGTCATGGACTTTCCCTGGGTTTGAGTATGGGATGTATTTATGGTACTTCCATATTGGATTTGGAATTTCTTCTATGTAACCATTGGAGAGCTTTCTAAACAATGGGATTTGCCATCCTTCTGGTGGCATTGTAGCCCTAATAGTAGCCGCAACTGGCATCCCCACAGAGCCAACCTCAGGATTGAATCCATATTGATAGAAATCATCCTTGAAAAAATCTTCTGGATTTTGGATTTCATATGGGCCATCGGTAAAATCACCTTTCCCGTCTGCAAAACCATCCCACATTGATGCTTGAACATAAGAACGGGTTCCATCCAGATATTGACTAGGATCAGTTGATTCTTGTGACAAATCTTCACCAGCAACAGAATTTTCTTCATTGGACTTGAAAAGAGGGTGGAGCTTTAGATAATTCATAAGAGTGGTATTGATGTCTTTCGGAGGAGTTTGTTCATTGCCACCAACCCAAAGAGCAAGACTTGCATGATTCCTAAGAAGCTTAATAGTGTCTTGTGCACAAAAAAGGAATAGGTCATGGTCCAATGGACCATTGGGGTTTGATACAGGTATGCCTCTTCCATCACAGTCACCTGTTATCCAGAACTCTTGCCAAACCTGCAACAAAGAGAAATCACTAATAAATTTTGACACAAAGATTAGATCTGCCTGAATACTTAAGAATACATGTTAAAAAACTCAATAGCGCAGCAAGGGCGGATTAAAGATGGGGCAAACTCAATCTCTATGCGTCGTGACGAAATTTAAGTAAAATTTCAAAGTCGTCGGAATTCAACGAAATTAATTTTATAAAATTCTACGCAAAATTTCGAGCAAATTGATAAAAATAATCTATATTCAATTTCACTTAAATTTAAGTTAAAAATGTTAGAAGTTTCATAATACCAAACTACCCTTAATAATTATTAAAACGAATTATAGCATGCAAGGGGTATTTTAGTCTTTTGGAATATTCTCATTTACTTAAGGGACCGAAATTCCCTACTCATTTCCGTCCGAACATCTATTCCCGCCTCGTTAATTCGAAACTCCGGGCGGGTCGTGACAAAGCAAGCCTTCATGCAACTAATTTAAGAATCATTTTCCAACTCTCCCCTTCCAATAGTAAACTTTTGGATACACAAATGAATAGGAGGATCGGATAGAGTATGCATTGCAGGATGCAACATAGTGGAAAGAAAACTGTAGGTCAGATCTCCGTGGAACTGTTATGTGTCACTACAGATTTTCACAGCATAGAAGACCTCATTCATTTCACGCCACTAGAATTGGCACCATCTGATCATAAAATAACCAGAAGGTATCTTCATATAAGGAAGCTATTTTGGTAGTGTTTGTCTGTATAGTACAACCGTATTTAGCTATAGAAGAAGCATTTCACTTGTACTTAAAAAATATTGGCGATCATGTGATACGATCCTATAGGATTGTAAGGGATAAATAGTGGATTTGAGTTTGCTGGCAACTCCATCTACCGGGAAATTCGAGTTTGCCAGAAACTCCAAAAGAGGGTAGATATTGAGAAGAACTCACATCATTCTTTCATTCATCCAAATGTCTCCAAATAAAAATAGATGTGCAAGACTAAATCATCACCACTAACTTCTAACTAGTTAATTAGTTTTATTAACCTAATATAAGAATTAATTATCTCACATTACCCTATCATTACCCACCCCTTCGAAATGACCGTGCCCTCAAGGTCGAGCAAAGTACGTGTGAGGTGTCATCAAATGATAGGAACTAGAAGAATTGAATTGAACGCTGTCAACCTAGATGACGTTCGTACAAGATCTTGAAAGTTGTGGAACGTTGCAAGTGAAAGTTAGCGGAGATGCAATTGTGGGTCTCCAAAGGATGCTGCTTATGGGGTTCGAATGTAAAGAGTACGACCGCACTATCCCGTAGGACAAAACGGTCGTATGTCTTTACATTCGAACCCCATAAGCAGCATCCTTTCGAAGACTCACAGATTTTTGGTGACCACGGTGGGACAGGTTTATCTCTCCATCTTCTGATATTATATTATCTTCTTTTGTGTGCACTCCGGGTTTGGTACTCCTTAGATTAGGTTTGTCTTACTCTTAGATAGGATCCTTTTCTTAGTTAGGTTCCCTTCTTGGCTAGGCTTTCGCCTAGCTCTGGTCCCTTCCCTTCCGGCCTTTTAGGCTATTTTGTACCTTATCAAATTCTCTTCTTCCTGTCGAGTTTCTGTGTTCGCTCGGTTCTCTCACCCTGAGACTGCCGAGTAGACCCCGACGCCTTCCTACCTTTCGTAGGTACTTGATACCTAAGGGTGGATTAGTTGTTGATAGTAGCTCAGATGAGGGAGGAGACTTCCGACGTCAGACTACTAGCAAGGAACCTATTCCACATCAAATGTGTGGAACGAGAGTCGAGGATTCCCGTAAAAAATCTTCCGACACTCCTTTCACTAGTACTGGTTGTTCGCTATAGACTAGCGAACATTCCTACCTCCTGTAAATATCATTCTGTATTCGTATTCCTTGAAAGGATTCTTTTTACTTTTCGACAGTCTGTGTGGCCATGACGATTTGTTCTCTACCACACGATGTTCGCTTCAAAGAGTATAATGATATCTTTAAAGGGGATACGGTAATATGTTGTAGGGATATTTGTACTTATATTTATGCACATCAATCATATTGGTGCTAGCGCATAAAACCCTTGATTTGTTCCCCCCTTTATGAGAGGTTGTTTTACCTAGTTTCACTTGTTACTCTAAGTGTGGTCTGGGATACCAAAACTAATAATTCAAATCTATTTTCCAGAGGTGATACTGGGCATACCCACCTAGGTTAATCAGGTGTGATAAGTTTGATCCCATATCCCTAATTTCAATCCACTTTCTAGAGGTGATACTGGGTCCACACCCACCTAGGTTAATCAGGTGTGGTGTGGTAGATCCAATATCCCTAATTCCAGCCCACTTTCTATAGGTGATACTGAGTCCATGCCTACCTGTGTTAGTCAGGTATGACGATGTTATTCCAATGTCCCTATGTATGTTTCATCATCATATCGGTCGTGATACGATAGTTGTTCTTCCCTGACCAATTGTACATATCCCTCTGTATATATATAACTCCAAAGGATCTCTTATACTTTTCGGCAGTCCGTGGTCACGACGATTTATCCTCTACCACTTGATGTTCGTCATGCAAAGTATGAGATTATCCTTAGTCGTTGTATGTAAATATGCCGTAGGGGTGTTTGTACTTGCACTCATGCCCACCAATCGCTCCGGTGTTGTAGCATGAAATCTCCTTTTCAGTCCCCTTCGAGGGTTGACTTTCCCCAATTTCACTTGTCACATTCAGTGTGGTCTGGGATACCAAAACTACTGACTCGAATATATATAGAATGTGATACTGGGTCTATCATTGATTTATATTAGTCGAATGTAGTGATGTTGACCCATTGTCATTATATGAATTTCTCTACAAATTTTGTTATGATGTTTGTGCTCCCCAATTCATTCATACAAGTTGAATATGGCCTGGGTTACCAAAGCCAATGTCTCATTCCTGTGCATATCCTATATATAATCTTTCTCTCTCCCCAGTTGAATATGGCCCGGGTTATCAAAATCAACAATATCTCCCTCTCTTTATGTTCCGGTTATTAGAAGATATTTCATACTAGGGGTAACTCATTGATATGATAAACGTTCCCTCTACGTGTGATATTTTCGACAGTGTGAGATATACTTAATCTATAACTGTGAATATAATATGAAAATAAATAAAATATGATGTTAAAAGAGATGAAAGCTCTTAGTTGAGTAGAATCAGTTGCCCTTGTCACAGGATGAACCCGGTTCTATGCTCCAAGAGCCCAAAGTCCCTCCAAATTCTCTTCCTTTCATTTTCTCTCGTTAAAGCATTTTATTGATTGCTTAGGAGATGACTATATGTTCATTTCTTCTATTATGGTTGTTCACTTATAACGGAGATGTTTTTCCTCTCATATAATGTGATACATCTTACTCTAGATGTTAACATCACTTCTTAGTGGATTTTGATCTTCTAATAGAAAGTCAATCAATTTCTTCCTTTAGCAACATAATTTCCCATTGAGAGCTTGCTTTTAGCTGTAAGAACAGTCTCTTTGAATGCATAAATGTTGCTTGCACTTCTTACAGGATCCCATCAGTTAATATGAGTGTTACCACTGTGATTCCTTCAGTAATCATTGATCTTTGATATAGTTATTATTTTTAGTGGCAAGCGTGTTCCCTTGCCACTTCTATTATCCCTTCTTTAGTATGAGATTATTCTTTCGTCTCTTTGAATGCATAAATGTTGCTTGCACTTCTTACAGGATCCCATCAGTTAATATGAGTGTTACCACTGTGATTCCTTCAGTAATCATTGATCTTTGATATAGTTATTATTTTTAGTGGCAAGCGTGTTCCCTTGCCACTTCTATTATCCCTTCTTTAGTATGAGATTATTCTTTCCACTTAGCTGTGTATGTTCCTCCTTGTTTAGAGAGATATACATCAGTCCGTTACTTCATGTTGTACATGATTTCATTTTACCTAAGAAAATTCTACTTATATTTTGATTACTCATGGCCACGATGATTTGTCCTCTATCATGTGGTGACTAAAATATGAGTTTGAGATTTCTTAAATGATGAATTACTCACCTCTTTGTTTTTATCACAGCACCACACACGTGTGCGTTGGGGGTTGTTGAGCTCTGGTCCTCTTCTCATCATCTCGGCAGATGCGTCAGGTAATAGTAGAGTATTTTTTGTCCTCTTCTTATCGCCGCGGCAGACGCCCCGGATGGTAGTAGAGTGTTTATCGTCCTCTCCTTATCGCCCCGGCAGACGCCCCGGGCGGTAGTAGAGTGTTTCTTGTCCTCTCCTTATTGCCCCCGGCAGACGCCCCGGGCGGTAGTAGAGTGTTTCTTGTCCTCTCCTTATCACCTCGGCAGATGGACTAGGTGATAGTAGAGTGTTTCTTGTCCAGTGATTAATTCTATGGACCCTTGTTGTATTGTATGCTAGTTGTTCGATGGAATGTCTCAAAGGAGTTCCAGTTATATTGAAACTTTGTATTAAGATGAATCGTCGGTTTCACATTTGTCGAAATAGCCATTTAACTACTTTGTTTCTTGCAAGTGTGGCCATTTTCTTACATGATTATTTGATGGGCAAAGAGGTGATATGTTTTTTTTTATGTTGGAAATTTGGCCCCATGTGTAGCTTTGTTTTCTAACAAAAAAAAAGGTATTTTAACGCTCTCGAATATTGATAATAATTATTGCTGAGCCATAGATAGTTTCTTATGATATAGTTGAGATTCACATGTTGGCTTATATTGCTTGGAGAATAATTCTTCACATATAAAATCTGCATTCAGTTATGATTTGAATAGCATGATATTTGTATTCAAGTAAAGGTCATGAGAGATCATAAAGGGTGAAATTATTTGCTGTTAAGGTATGCTCATGAGGTATTCGTAGCAATGCCTATCAAGAGGTAATTTAAGTCTGAACTAAATAAATGAAGAACTTATACATTTGGATGATATTTTGTTAGTGCTCCTAAGATCCTTCACGAAT